TTATTATTATTATTATTAATAATTATATACTTACAAATTCTAGTTTTACAAATACCTACAAATATTGTATTACCTTCGTGAATTTGGCCTCCACTTTTTTAATAAGTTACTAATTTTGATTTACGAGGTTACAAATACTTACAAATGACTTAACTGATTTGTGAGGCTAACAAATTTTCGAATTTCTACAAATGTAAGGTTTCGAAAAGTTGACCTCCAAATTTGTTTTTCTCTATACTATATACTATAGGTTTGACAAATTTTAATTTTTGGCCTACACAAATAATTAGAATTAAATAATTAATTACTGATAAAACGAGTTTAAATTTGGCGTCAAAGGCGGGGTTAACATCACGGAAGAGATCTGCGATACAGCTAAAATAAATTGCAGTAATATACCCGCCGCAGCTTGAAACAAACGTAAAAACAGCGACAGTCTTAGCCCGAGGTATCTACCAATAATACTTGATATTCAAGAAACAACATTATACTGAAAGCTTTAAGCCGTTGTTATAAACATTCGTCAGTTTCGAAACTATAGTGAAGAGTGCACATGCGAATACAATGTGTGCATTTAATATTGTTCTATTACTCTTTATATTCGGATATGCAAGTGAGTTGATTGCTAAGTATGTTGTTATTATTTATGATACGCAATATTCTTTCAGATTTTAATATATCCTTGAAACGATAATTTCTATATTAAATTTACATCTTATATACGTGTGACATAATTATCACTAGTGATATTGTATATACATATACACTGTGTAGATAGAGTTTCCAATAGGAAAACTTTTATTATCATTAGATTTACAAGAAAATGGCATTCCTTATTCGAAAGTATAATTTCAAGTGACAAATATGTGATTACCGACTGTATTGCATTATTAGCATTTGTGTTAACTTCACATGGAAACAATTTAGGAAACTATTAAAATTAATGAACCATGAAATATGTACGTGAAATTGTACGATAGTGTTATCTGCTCAGTTAAAGTGTTTATTTTTTTTCATCGATACTTTTTTTGATCGAGAAAATGTAATTCTTTATAAAATATCAATGTTATTTAAATGTTGTTATACAGGGTGATTTTTAAGTTGGGTAAATCCTTCTACCGCCAAATAAAGCTAAGAAAAACAAATATTTTTTTCCTTTAACACTTTTTCGAAATATCAATATTAACGAAAGTACAGGGGGTTAAAATTTTGTTTAAAAAATTTAAAAATGAATTTTTTTATACAAAACCGCTTGTGATATGTTATTGAAATTTTACAGGCGTTGATAACTCCAAAGGTCGCATATTATTCGATAAGCAGAATATTTCTAAATCTATCAGTGGCGCACGTACCAACAGATAATTCAATATTTTATAAGAAAAAATGGTACGCTACTGTTTTTTCGAAACATAAAAATAATTTTGATTTCTTTGTTCAGTTCTGAAGAAGAAAGCTCTCTTGAGTTTTTTTCACACGACTCATAGTTTTCAAATAAAAAAAAGAAATAGTTTTATTCCACATTCAAAATCAAATGTAACTTTAATTCAAAATTACTTAAGTAGGTATGTTACGAAAATTTTACTAAACTTAATCTAACTGATATGCTCAAAATGAGCTCCATTTACTTCGACGCATAGTTCAGCTCGACGTAACCACTGTTCAGTCACCTCGCGAAGTAAAGAAACTGGTTTCCCCCTAATCGTAATAGCAGCCTCCTCTATGCGTCCAATCAATTCTTCCACTGTTTCCACAGGAATTTGGTACACTAAGTATTTCATGTAGCCCCACAAAAAAGTCACATGGAGTCAGATCTGGAGATCTCGGAGGCCACTCCACTGGACCACCTCGACCAATCCATTTATTTCGAAAAGTATTGTCCAAGAACAATCTTAGCTTTATTTGGCGGTAGAAGGATTTACCCAAGTTAAAAATCACCCTACACCACCAACTACCGCGGAAGATATGTAGCAGCGCATTACAGTAGCAATTCAAGATGTATATACCACTATTTTGGTGCAACAATATTAAAACAACAATTTTAACATTATTTTCGTCATTTAAATTAAGTGAACATAAGGATCGCTGCACCGACGACTCATTTTTTACAAATAAGTGTATGTATAGAAAGTGAAAAGTTTAACTGGAACAAATTAATAAATAAGGATTTGTCGCAGAATTCCTGAAACACGTCAATTTTTATTTTCAGTATTTTTACGAAGAGATTTGTTAATTTTTTTAATTATGTGGGAAGTTGCAGCAACCTCCAACATTTTTTTAATGGAAGGGTAGGTTGATTAATTTTTTATTTTAGAACTTTTTCAATTGCAAATACGATTACGTATTATTTTGTTACTTTTTATAAGCAACGTATCGGAAAATTAAAATAAGGAAAGGTTTACTGAAACTTCACTAATGTATACATTTTTTTCTTACTTGATAATCCATAATATCAACAACAGTTCCATACCTTATCACCTGCTCGACATTTTTTTGCCAATTTGAACTAAATGTGATTGATTTGTTAGAGTTGTGAGAAAAAAAGCGCCACTCTATTCAGAAAGCACTTTTTTGCTTTAAAAATTAAAAGAAAAACTAAAAATGTTTTATTTTTTATTTTTTTATAAAACTACATCTCAAAATGAACAAAATTAAAAAAAAATAAAATATGTCATATATAATCTTTGCTAAGATACAGATACTTCAAATTTTTTTACTCAAAATATTCAGATGTTCATATCTTTTTGAGGGATTAAAATAAAAATTTGAAAAAATTCATGAAAGCTATTAGGTACCAAAAAATGAGGAAATTTAAAAAAGAGAATTAGAAAACTTAAAACCAAAGTATCATTATTATATACAAAAATATTGCATTAAAAATAAAATTTTGAAATTAGATATTTTTAAATATAAAATACCTTATACCCCAGCAAATACTTTTTGCCGTTCAGTTATTTATGCTTACAGGATGTTTTTAAATAAAGTAGCAAATTTAATTAATAATTCATTAATTTAATTTTTTTCTTTAACATGGGGAATGCTAGACACACGAAACTTGGTATGAGCATCCTACTAATAAAGAAACAACTTTTCAATATTTTTGCGATCATTGGCGTATTTTATAAAGGAGTGAAACAGTCAACCCCATTGCAATATTTATTAGAAATTTTTTATATAAAGCAAATTATTTATTTAAAAATATTTATTGGGAAGACTGATGTATTTTTACCTGTTGTAATTTTTTGATAAAACCGATAGTTTTCTAGTAAAAAAAATTACATGCGTCATCATTCACTAAAGGGGTAATTTTGAAAATTTGTAAAAATAAAGTAGGAGATATCATAACAAATAAATTGTTATTTATCATATTAATAAATTGACACTTTCTGTAAACCAATAATTAGTACCAATTGATTAATTTATTATCAGAATGATTACGGCAAATAATATTTATACCAATGACGAATGCTCCAAGTGTTTTTCGAATCCAGAAAAAATAGTAACGCTGCAGTAAGATTATACCACCAAAGATATCCAAACCGACCGATTCCTCATAGACAAACATTGGCCTCGGTGGAAAGAAAGCTTCGCGAAACTGGTAAAATTCAGCCCAATTGTGAAGGTGCCGGAAGAAGGCGTAATATCCGAACTGTTAAAACTGAGGAAGCTATACTGGAACATCTAGAACAAGACTGTGGTACAAGTACAAGACAGGTGTCCAGGCAACTGCAAGTTTATCACAGTCTTGAGTGGAATGTAGCTAGGGTTACCAGATCTATTTCATAACAGACCAGGAGTAATTGATGCCTAGAAAAAAAAGGAAATCTGAGAGTAAAAATCTACTTCTTCTCTACTTCGTGACAGAATAATTGATGTCTAAAAAAAAAACAGGAAATGTAGATAAGAAATAACGATTTTTCCAGGAAGCCCGGAGAAATGACATGTTAACCCCTTTTCACCATCAACCCGCGCAAGAATTGAATGACCCTGATTTACCTAACCGCCTGGATTTTTGTCAATGGTACATTAATATTTCCAGGCATGACTTAAATTTCCTAATGAATATACTTTTCACCGATGAAGCAAATTTTCCTAGAGTAGGTGCAGTAAACCTTCATAATGTTCATTCATGGTCGGAAGAAAATACTCATGAAATATTTGTTTCAAGATGTCGACATAATTTCAGTTTAAACGTTTGAATGGGAATCGTAGGAAATACTATAGTAAGTCCTTTTTTCTTCCACATAGGCTTAGAGCGGCCGAGTATCTTAGATTTTTGAACGAAAATCTTCCAACATTACTTGAAGATGTACCCCTCGCTACACGTCAGGTGATGTGGTATATGCACGATGGGACGCCTGCACATAGTACACTTGCCGTTAGAGAATGGTTAAATTTAAATTACCCGAATCGCTGAATTGGTCATGTTCGTGATGTTCCTGTTTCTTGGCCTGCACGTTCACCTGATCTATCGCTTATGGATTTCTTTTTGTGGGGACACATAAAAAGCATTGTTTATGCCACTCCTGTTGCCTCCTTATAAAAATTTCAGGCAGCAGACGATCTGCGCAATAACCAAGAACTGTTTGTGCGAGTGCGTTATAATTTCAACAGACGTATTAGGTTATGCTTGCAGCAATATATATTTATTTATTTATTTATTTATTTTGCACTTCTTGTTTTTCGTTTGTATTAAATTTTATTTCAAATAAATAACTTTCCCATAGTCATAAGTTATCAAACATTTTTCATTAATTAATAGGAAATTATTCTTAATATTATTATTAAATTACCAGCATTATCACCTCCTCTAAGAGGGTATATCGCCTCAGGGGTGCAACTTTCATATAAGGTAATTTTACTTCAATCCTCTTATTTTTGGCTCTACATTCACTGGTACCATTTTTGCTACTTCATTTAAAAACACCCTGTATATTCGCAAGCGACTTAATTTCGAACAAGCCGCCATTGTAAAAACAATTTTTTAGTCACACAAAATAATTTTTGTAAAGGATTTAATTTAAAATACTATGTACTATGCAAATACACAATATTTTTGTCAGTGTCTAATCATGTTTTTTATATCTAACTACCTTTTTCAATGTTCCATTTTCTGGGTTATGAGATAAAGATTGTACATTTAAAGAAACCTTTTACTTATTAATTTCTTTCTTTTCTACGTTATCTGTGAATCTTTAGAAATAGTGGTACTTTGGTTTTAACAGTTTTTTATATTTGTATTTAACACCCTGTATTCATGACAATAATGCCTTTCTTAAATCTAAGGTCAATATTGATACATTCTGTATGGTTATCATGTATTAAGCGTCTGAAATTGCAGTTACAAAACAGTCAAGTGATTGATAAAGAGTAACAGTCTATTGTAAATCACCAAAAAAAAAAGTTATCTCTCTTATGAACCTCATCCATGGATGCACAGTATATTAATAATGTTATATAAATATTAGTGTAGTATGTATATTCTAGTGGACTACTACAGAACTACAAAAAAAAATGTTTATGAATTATATTTCTTATATTGTAAGAATATGTAAATAACAGATACAGAGTCATTAGTTTTAGTCATTAGTCCTCTACGTATTTTATAAAATTTACATTCACAATCATAAACAAAATCAAGCCATCAATTTTCCGAAAGTAAACCTCCTTGACTGAAAAACATTACATAAGTACAAATAGGCATTTTTTGAAGAACGATGACGTATTCACAAATCCACGACAATATAATTAGTAGAACTTTATCACATGTCCTGGATTAGGATATCCTATCACAGAGACATCGAAAACAATGAAAGATACAGGGTGGCAGAAATTGGAAAATAATTGCTCCATAAGGCGACCATTGAAATGGCGTAAACATAGATATATTCTCTAGTTACTGATATACGGGATGAGTTTATATGAGAGATATCTACTTGTTTATTTATTTGTTTACGACGAACACGCTATGACTAGCTGACGAAAACCCCGAACTCTAGTCACGAGCCTTCAATTATTCTGTTTATTTCACGAATATATAAAAGAGAACCAGAATAAATGAGATTAAGCCGGAACAATTCGGAATAAACCCCAATAAGTCAGAACAAGTCGGAGTAAACCCCAATAAGTCAGAATAAGTCGGAATAAACCGGAATATTTCGGAATAAACCGGAATAAGTTGGAATAAACCGGAATAAGTCGGAATAAACTGGATTATGAACGGAATAAGGCGGAATAAATGAAAATATTCCAGTAAAATGGAATCAGAGTACATTTTAGAGTCTACCCCTCGGGTATAGAATTTGTTACTTAATTATTTTCATTACATGCATGTTTACATTGTATACACCCAACTCATTGTCACGTTCTATACAGGGGCACAACAAAATTGTACTACAGCAGACAACAAAAGTGGCCCTACAATGATAGACTTCCTGAATAAATCCCCGAAAGCATTTTCCAACGAAGTAAAAATATTGCTAAACAGATAAGTCTGCACCTACGAGGACGAAGCTAAGCAAAAATTTGTTGTCCTTCAGATCCTATTGATATCAATGACAAGGATAATAAAGAAGTCCTTCCACCTCCACCACCAGATGTTCTGAATCATGAAAATCTTAAGCTGCTGCCGGAGGAGTGCGGTCAGATCAATTACGATAGTAAAATTCGAGACGGTACTGAAGCAGGTTTGAGAGAATTTCCTTGGATGGCACTTTTGGCGTATAACACAGGTACCTACTATTTTTTTTTCTTTAAACAGTACTGACCGAATTGATTAAGATCATTAGTTATTTAGTACCTAATATGTATCGAACTATTCAGGGTCTTTGCTAAGTACAGGGTGATTCACTATATTTTGACCACCCCTTTAACTTTTTTATATATGCATTTTGGACTATATCCGATAGGTATGTCAAAATATATTACAACTAAATCTAAATCCTCACGTAAATGCCTGAAAAGGGGACAGTTACAAAATGTCTTATTTTCTTAATAAAAAAACCTTCATTTCGTTTTTTAATATTATCTCGCTTATTGTTAGAGGTGGACCCAAGAAACCCTACATCTCTATGCTCGACAGGGAACGTTCTATCCAAATATGCAAACATATACGGGGTGTTCGGTTTATATGAACAAAGTTAGCATCCGCGGCCATTTTGTTTGGACTTCATTTGTTTTTCTACTATCATTTTCGAAACTTCATAAAAAATCGTGCAACTTTTATATTTCACATTTTTTTATAACTCTTAAAACAAAAAAGTTAATGTGGGGTCAAAATATACTGAATCACTCTGTATATAGTACAAATATTATTTGGGTATTGATTATCTATATAAAAAAATGCGTTGCTTAGTGATGTATGACACTAAATCATAAATTATTATTACTATAATGTTTTCAGAATATGGTCGCCAGTTTATATGTGGTGGAAGCATAATAAATGAAAATTATATCTTAACAGCAGCCCATTGCGTAGTGAAGACTGAATATCCACTGTAGGTACAATGCAATGCTACTAAGTACAAATAGTTAATAGTAAATTATTTACTAAAAATGCATAGTATCATGTATAGTAAGTAAATTATCATTTTCACTGCCAAAACTGCCACAAAATGTTTGCTAAAGTATGTTATTAACATTTAAATTTTTATTTATGTATACAGGGTGTTTATTAATTGAATGCCGATACTTAAGAAAGAGTGTGAATCCTTGGGTCATTTTAAGAAAAAAACTTAATATCAACATATGTCCTAAACCTCTTAATTTTTGAGCTACAGGGTGTTACAGTTTTAAGAAAAAATTTACTTTTTTATTATAATTTTCTTATCACTCCAGATATTTTTACGAAATTTTGTACACACCTATTAATCATTAAGGAGCATTGTTTGATGTAAAAAATGTTTCAAAATCTTTGTCATTGACGTCCGTACGAGGATTGAACTAAACATTTTTGAAGAAAAAAATGGTACGTCACTGCTTTTTCTAAAAACTAAAATTATTTTTAAAATCTCCATTTATTTTACAGCAAAATCGGTCCCTAGACTTACTCTCGTACGAAGCAACCATTTGCACATAAAAAAATGAAAACCGAAAACAGTTTTTTCCCCAAGTTCATTGAGACTGCTTTTGATATTTTGTTGCCATTTTGTAGACACCCACCATGCGTGGAAATACTTTTTGTGGGGCAAAAATTTATTTTCTACTTTCACAAATGACATTCTCATAGGCATAATATTAAATGTTTGGATAGAAAAAACGGTAAGCTCATTAAATGCCCCCTTAAAGCAAATGAAATAAAAATTAGTAGTGTCATAATGTATTTATTATGTATTTACAGCAGATGTTGAAAATGTCCTCCACCCACACTTATGCAAGCATCTACTCTTCTTCGCATAGACTGACGTACATTTTTAAAAAATTCCTGGGGTGTCTCTTATGGTTTGGTAGCATACTATTATACGATTTCGTAACTCTTCTTCGGTTTGAATCGGCACTGCGTACACCAAGCCTTTCAGATGACCCCAGAAAAAGTAGTCTAAACTATTAAGGTCGGGAGATCTGGGCGGCCATGACTGCGTTCCTCCGCGGCCTATCCACCGATCGCGATAGTTGTGATTTAAAAATTCACACACCCGTAAGCTAAAATATGGAGGCGCACCATCGTGCATTAGCCACATCTGGTTTCTTAATGAAAGAGGAAGGTCTTCAAGCATTGGCGGCAGATCTTCTTCAAGAAAGTGTAAATACGATTGTCCATCTAATCTTCTTGGGAGAAAAAATGGGCCTATCAAATAATCGTCAATAATACCAACCCAAACATTTATTGAAAACTGTTCTTGATGATTTGATTCAACAATTACAAAAGGGTTTTCATCCGGCTACAAATGGTTATTATCGAAATTTCGTATTGAGTTTCGAGAAAAACTAGCTTCATCGGTAAAAAGAATGTACCTGTCAAATAACGGAGCAGTTTTTGAAGAAACCACTCACAGAAATTAATGCGCAACGGGAAATCTCTAGGGAGTAATGCCTGGACTCTTTCAATGTGATATGGATATAACAAATTTTCGATAAGAATTTTCCAAACAAGTACGTGTGAAACATTAAATGTTGACGCGATTTTCCTCGTGCTAGTTTCGGGGTTCTCCTCAATTTTATGTAAAATTCCTTCTTCAAATTCCGGTGATCTTACTGTTTATAAAATTTACCATTTTTTATGAGATTTTACTTCCTACTCTAATAATTTTTTAATAATGAAAAATCAATGTTAACGTTATTGCGAAAAGAAGCGTAAAAAATTATGACACTTTACCCAGCCTACTATTTTTATTTCATTTGCTTTAAGGGGGCAATTAATGAGCTTACCGTTTTTTCTATCCAAACGTTTAATATAAAACTTGTTTATTTGGTATGGCTGGATTCAGTTTTCTAAAAGCTTTTCAACGAACCCCTCATGCCTTATGTTTCCATTTGAAAAAAAAATAGGGATAGCTGGGTGTTAGGGGGTTGAAGAAAAATTAATTATTATATAACCGAAAGATGGGAAAAAATCAAAATCAGTTAACGTGTTTCGGCGTTTTAAAAAAAAATTAACCCATTCAAAAGATATGAATTTTATTCCGTACTTCTGGCCATCCCTGTATATGTTCCATAATTAGATTTCTGGTGTCAAAGAACATTGTCTCAATTCATTTGATTTTTTTATAGAAATTATGAATTTGTTTGAAATATGCTAATACTTTTAAAATAAAGTAATACATTTTGCATGGCTTTGAATATGCTTTACTCAATTCTAAACCACAAAGAACTGATTTTACAGGCGAATGCACCTGTTTAACTATCTCTAAGTTGGAAAGGAAAATAAAACAAAACATTGTTATGTCCTTGTTAGGATATAACTAGAATCTATAAAAAAAAAATAATGTTTTGTCAGAGTAAACATAATGCAAAGCGAACGTATTTATACGCCTCTTGTTTTATTATCTGGTATTATCCTTAACACAGGTAATCATTCTATTAAATCTATGCACTTTACCAATAAATATTGAATGGGAATCATTAAAAAAATTAATAGCTTGTTAAGATTTTTGAAAACTAGTGACAAAATGCAAAAATTAAAAAAGAACTTTTTATAATGTAACAAGTTGATTTTGACATATTTTTATTTATGGTAATTTCTTCTTATTACTAAAATGAAAGTATTTTATTGCAATATTATAAACTACTAAAAACTTCCTCACTCAAACTGTTTCAATTGTACTTTCATTACATACGAAATTTTTGTTCTATTTTACAGTGTAGGAGTACGAGTTGGGGAATACAGTATTTTATCAGAAAAGGACTGTGAAGAAAAGCAACCAAACGATTGCCTTCCACCCCCTAAAGATCTAACTGTGGAGAAAGTTATAATTCATCCCGATTATAGCACAAGTACTTACGCCAATGACATTGCATTGTTACGGGTATCCAAAATTAATTTAGAATCAGGTATAATTTATGTATTTAATTACTATAGATTAATGTCTGTATTCTTATACTACGAACAGTGAATGTTTAAATAATAAATGCCATAAAATTTCACCAGAAATATTAGATACTAATACTTTGAATTGAATAGCCGATACTATTGGAAACAGGGCTAAAAAATTTTTCTATAAAGACAGTCTCCGCCTTTGCTCAATAATAAAATTCCTTTCAGATAGCATTCAAGCTGTATGTTTGCCAGTATATAAAGAAGTTATATCCCAAGACTACATAATGGGAACTGTTACTGGCTGGGGATTTACTGACCCTTATGGTAAGCGTTCACTTTAAGAATTAATATAAAAGTACGACTATAAAAAATTATTACAATGGCTTTATTAAGTAAAGACTAAAGTAATAGTATGTAATAATAGTTATTTACACCATAAAAGAGGTAAGTATCATTCACCAGTCGAGGACGATTTTGCGCCCGAGCGGAGCGAGGACTGGCAATAGAAACTGGTAAATTATACTTAACTGCTGCGTGGTGTATAACATTTTATCTGCTCCCACAGTTCTTTATGGTTTATGAAATAAAGATTAGGTTTCATTTTTTACATTCCTTAATCAATTCAATTTGACATTATTCGAAATCTTGCAAAGTCGCCTTGGTTGTTTGGATTTTGTAGTTTCTAAGGTGTTTATAAACAAAACTACATAAAAGTTGCATTTTTGCTGGTTTTGAATTATTATTTCTAAATGAGTGATTTTCAAATAGAAGGTGCGAATTTTTATTGACCGAGAAGTCGAAAATGCGCTACGGACAAGCATATAGAAATTTCAAACAATGGTGCTAGAATAAAAATACTGGTGTTTTCGAAATGTCACTGCTAGCATATTTCATGGAGAAGTCAAGAACTTTAAAGTCACCGGCGAGTTTGTGGAGTGAATACTAAGTGATTAAGTCAACTATTTTCATAGAGGAGAAACGTGTATATATCAAAATATCTCAAGCTAAGAGCACTTTTGAAACATAAGAATGACGGCTATACACCTAAAAAGTTGAACGTTTTTAGAAGTCAACGATTTTGTCGTTCAAGCACCCGATAACACATATTTGCTAATGAAGGTAGTGGCGGTCTTGCAAGAGCATGCCGTTCTGATGAGTTATGCAAACTTACTTTGGACAACGTCAATTTAAAAAATTTCGATGACATTGTAATTACAATTCTAGATTCTAAAAACGGTATGTCACGTACGTTTACAATTAGGTCTCGTCTCGGTTCTGTTTCTCACCTAGAAATTCTCAAGAAATACATCAAAATTAGATTGGAAATTAAAACTGAAATTTCACGCTATTTTTATGCGCCGTCAAGCAGGTAGATGTTACAACCAACCAGTCGGCAAGAATACACTTTCTATGATTCCTAATAAGATTGCACGGTTTTTGAAACTAGAACATCCTGAAACATATACAAGCCATTCATTTCGAAGAACATCGATAACGTTACTGGCTAATACAGGAGTTGATGTATTAGCAATCAAAAGACATGGTGGGTGGAAATCAGCCACAATTGCAGAAAGTTTTGTTGCTGATAATGTTGAGTCTCCGGTGACTGAAATGGAGCAGTCAAATCATTTTGAGAAATGAAAAATGTGACAATTAGTAAACGCGAGGGGAATAATTATCCAGATTTTATAAATGTTATTAAAATGTAATAACGGTACAATTACTATAAATATTCATGCATAATAATTAATAAAATGTAATGTTCATCAAAATATTTCTATTTATTTGTTCATAAAATATGCATTTATAACTCGAAATCGCTTTACTTAGTGGGAGCAGATAAAAGTTGTTCTTTTAAAATGGATAGTTCATACCTTCATATGGTTGATATTTTAACTACAAAACAATTTTTCTAGTGCTTCTGTTCGGTTCATCATCAATTAAATTCAATACTGATTCTTCCAAAGCCGGTGTTTCGTGATTGTGACCACAGTCGTAAGATCTTTTCTTGAAAGTTTCACGTAGTTGTTCATGACGTTGTAAATGTAAAAATTACTATATTGATGAGGGAAAAAGTTACTTTTAAGCATGATTACATCAACGGAAAGGGTAGATTAAAACACAACCCAGTAAATTCTTTTCGATAATAAGAAAAGCGTCTGAGAGTTGACTTAAGAAAAAAGAAACTAAATTATTATTTCTCTGTTTGAAGGGCTACCTTAATTTTCAACGAGGATCACCTCTTAATTTTTTATGCTCGTACCATAACAACTACACCTTTCCGAGAAACATTAGGAATTAACTTGAATATAAACCAGTCTTCTCCGTTGTGGTATTTCCACGTAAATCCAAACAAGAGTTTTTTATCCCAACAATTTTCAGATCCAGATTGTGTTATAGTTATTCTTTTTCCTTTGTTTGATGGAGCCTTTGTTTTACATTGATCACTCTCATCTATTTATTATCCCATCGAAAATATTTTCTTAGTAAACTGGTTCCCAGAAAGAGATTATTTCAAATACAATACCTATATAGGCAATAACTTGTGATGGATGATTTCTGTGATAGACGTTAATTGAACTCAAGTCGACGCAATTAGTCATTCTCTTAAATCTACGAATGTACGTTAACACTGTTTAATTTTAAAATTAAGTATAATGATAAAACCAGCCCCCAAAATATGCTTATATTTATAAAGAATTTTTTGATATCTTCTTTAACATATACTTAGGTATCAACGTCGTCGACAAACTACAAAAGGTGTTCTTAAAGAAGCGCGACATAGGGGTCTGCACCGATGCTTACAAGGTCCAATCCGAGATCAAGTTGTCCTACAAACAGATCTGCGTGGGCGGTGAGGGAATTAAGGGTTCATGTGGAGGCGACAGCGGAGGTCCTTTCCATGTGCCAGCTCATTTCAACGACGACGACAGGTACGTTCAACGCGGCATCGTCTCCATAGGTCATCGGTTTTGTGGGACAGATGGATTCCCAGGAATATACACGAAGGTTACCTATTATGCCAAGTGGATTTTGGACAGTATTAAACCTTAATTGTATTTAAAAAAGTGATGTTATTGTTTACAATCGATTTTATAAAAAATAATAAAATTTTTGAATGTTCAAATATGTTTTCTTGGATTTGATAAAGTCGAAAGTCTAAATTTTTCAATATAATGACAAGTATATTCTGCTTAATGTAAAATTTTACGCAAAAACAACCCTGGCTGGTTATTTTGGCGAAAAGGTGTGTCGGGAACTACAGGATGAGGTCAATGAGGAATTGGAAATACATAATTAAATATTACAAAGACTCAAACTTAAATCCCATCACAATCTTGTACGAATGATTTAAATTTTATTTTGTTTATTGATACACTATTTTCCAGGTGTAAAACCCATCTACATAACAGAAGGGTAAAGAGAAAAAAATAAAATGCAGGAAAATTATTGAAAAACGTTAATGGATAAAAGTATAGTACGCGCTTAAAAACTGTTTTGTCATTAATATAAAAAAGGGAGTATACAATCAGCTAAAACATAATGATTTTAATTTAAATATTGTATTTGTACGTGGAGTAGAAACATGAAAAGTGTTACCCTCTCTTGAATTGGCTCGTGGAACGTAAAAATTGAGTTGGTGCAAAAGATCCGGGCAGGCAATTTATGTATTCAAAATTTTAAAGAATTGCACACAGTGACAGTGACTCCTGAAATCGAGACTATTCAACGAATGTCGTTTCAACAATTTAGATAATGAAAAACCAAAAGGTAGAAAGACCCCATCTATTTTAAAATTAAGAAATTTAATGTACTTTCTTGTACTGCTTCGATATTTTGTATAAATGATTTATAGTGGTGAGACCAAACTGGTTCAGCATATTCGAGGCTAGATCGGACAAAATAATAATACAAAGTTTTAGCGCTGAAATTATAAACAAATATTATTTTTGAATGTTTTAAAGCGCAAGACATTACGGCACTTCTGAGCATTCATAGAAAGTCTATTCAATTGGAACCAGTTATAAGTTTGATTCAAATTATTTTTATTTAAAGATGTGTATACAATTAAAAAAAAAAACAGCATAGAGAAGGTATTTAATATCTAAACAATTCATTATATAATTGATACAAAAGTTGAATAATGAGGCCCAAGATCAGATCCTTGTGGGACTTCAGATATGGCCAAGTGATCCACAGACTTACCTATCTAACTACTGGCAACTGTTTCTGAACGCAACAAGACAAGCTATCGAATGTCTAATATAAAATTTGAAATTTTACCCAACTTTTATTTCAGCACTCGTTAGTTCTGTTAAATTTACATATTTGGTATTAATATCGATGGATTTTTGACAAAACATCGTAAGCGACAATTTTATCAAAATTGTGTTTTTTGGTCTATACGTTTCCTTGGGTAAAATTTGTTCATCCCGACACAATATCGTATGTCAATTCTACTGTTCTCACTGAATTGTATCGTTTTATATATTATCGTATGCGCCAATATTGTCTAACAGTGTTTAAATTATACCTAAAACTATCGTAACTGTTGATGTATTCCCGACAGAGAATCGTAAGCGCCGTCGGTTACGATATACTACCAAACACATACGACAATTATTAGTGACCATTTTCTTGTCCACTGTGCATCAGTCCGAGTTTAAGAGCTGTTATTCTAATAATTTTAATTCAGTACGGTCATCTAAAGTGTCTGCACGTAACGAAATTTTTATGATTGTGTTTAAGGTTTAAAGAGTGTTTGAGGTTTAAATCGGTGAGTCCCATAATTTTAGTTATTTGTCGATAATCACACTTATTTGAAACGTTTATAGATAATGGCTTTTTCACGAGGGTATAGAATAGCATTAATGGGAATAAAACAATGTCAAAAAGAGATGCAAGTAGAACAAAAACGATCGAACAGTTTAGAAAACTTGGAAAATAATATTATTATTATAAATCATTTAAATCTAAATACTGCAAATGATAAAAGTAAGACCATCTCAAATAGTAACTCCTTAAATGAACATTATTGACGGTTCAAAGGCTCTTACAATTGTTTATAGTTCAAGTCCCTCTAATACTAGTACACCAAATCAAGAGCACTTCGAAACACTTCTTCTCGATGATAATAATATAGACAGCATGCCAATTATATTTTTAGAGAATGAAGGTAGTACTGTTTCTGCCAATGTATTATTGGACAACAATTTTGACGATGTATTGAATGAAGGTTCCACTTTTATTTTAAATGAAATCGAAAACTACAATGACACCGGAGTAATTGATGAAATTCTAGTTGAAAAGGCGCCGGAAAATAAGCAAATAATTTATTAATAATTATTCTTCAAGTTCGGAATCAAACAACTCCGAGTCAGAATCTGTCCAAAAAAGTAAAAAACTGAAGAGGTTTGATTCAGATTATTCGTTTGACGAAAAAAAGGATTCCGATTTCTTCTATTCAAGTTCCGATTCCGAAGATATCGTTGAAAAAAGTACTGTTGGTGAATCTGGATTGAGGAAACAAAAAAAAGCTAACAAAAAGAAAATTAAAAAGATTGAAAAGTATTTGAGAGCTACAAAATCAGTACAGGAAAATCCATGCAAAAATAGAAATTCTCAAAATTCAGGCGCCAAAAATTTTACAGAACAACAGCGCCATGATATTTTCGAATTTTATTGGGAACTAGGTAGCCATCAAAGACAGCGGGATTGGCTTTTATCCTGCATAAAGAAAACTATTGTTAAACGAAGATGAGTAACTACCGAAAATAGTAGACGGAATAAAACTTTTAAATATCTTCTCACATGGAATGGGACTGAAGTCGAAGTTTGCCAAAAGTTTCTTTTAAAAACGCTATGCATCTCACAAATGACGGTGAGATACACTAAAGATAATGCATTTACTGAAAAATTTGCTAAGACTGATCAGAGAGGGAAACATGATCCACCTCATAAAACAAAGCTGGAGGACAAAAAAAGTGTTCATGATTTTATAAAAAAACTACCAGCGGTTCCGTCTCACTACTGCAGAGGTAGTACAACAAAAAAGTATTTGCCAGCGGAAATAAGAAACGTGTCCTTCCTATATAGAATTTTATTTGTAAAGGATCAACTAGAATTGTTTAATGTCAAGTATCCTTGAAAGTATTTAGAAATATTTTTCATAAAGATTTTTATCTTGGTTTCCATCTTCCTAAGAAAGATAAGTGTTCAGTTTGCGAAGCAAGAAAAGATAATGGACTTAAATTTACAAAAGAAGAGGTCGATGGATACGAGGCACATGTAAGAGATAAAGATGTGAGTAAACATAATTTCCTCTCTGACTAAAAGTTGGCAAAAGAAGACACCAGTTTTGTATGTGCTAGTTTCGATTTACAAAAAGTATTAAATACGCCACATGGCGAAAACATGATGTTATATTACTCCCGAAAATATACTATGTACAACGAGACTGTCTATGAAAGTGGAACTAGGAACACCTTTTGCTATGTATGGGGTGAAACTGACGGCAATCGAGGATCGAACGAAGTAGGCACAATCATAAATAAATATTTAGAAATGATTGACCAGAGAGGAAATGTTCAGACAGTTGCGCTCTATTGCGACAGTTGTTCTGGTCAGAACAGAAACAAGGTTATTTTGGCTATGATATATACATTTTTAAAATCATCGAAAAATATACAAGACATAAAAATCGTATTTCTTCTTGCAGGACATACTTACATGCCCGTGGATGCAGTCCATGCTACGATAGAAAGATTCATTTCTAAACGTATTGTTTGGGCGCCATCAGAATGGGCTACATTAATTTCCAATGCTAGAGTTCACCCAAGACCTTTTGAAGTTGTCTCCATGAAGTATTCTGACTTTGTAGATTGGAAAACAACAGCAGAGAATTTACTAAGTAGTAATAAAACAAATGATGGACAGAAATTCAAAATAAGTCAACTGAGAATAGCATATTTTAAGAAAGGGGAGGACAGGATAAACATAAAATACTCATACTCCGATTCTGGGGAAAAGATGGTTTTACCAGTATCTCTTGTATCACAGTCTAAAGGTTGTAAACTCTATCATTATTTTGTTCTATTAAGTTAATCTACTTTTTGTTATTAGGTCGTAGATAAAAAAAATCACCAAAAACAGTAGATGTCCTTTATTCGTCTCCGTTGCCAATTTCTGAATTAAAATTAAAAAATCTTATGGAGTTGTGTGAAAAACGAGTAATACCGCAAAGGTATTGGAACGAATACAAATCCTTTGTGATGATGTTCCAGATACTTTGGCTGATACTGATAATGAAGACGAAATTCGTGAAGAGAACTAATAATTTAAACTTGTATTAGTACTGCCATTTTAAGGTTTATGGGATACTGTACGTTTTAATGTTACTGTCATTGTAATGTTTTAGTTCAAATGTATTAGTATACTTAAATGTTTTTGTTCAAATATTTTAGTTCAAATGTTTTGTCTCATTCTGTACTTTTAACGTGTTTAATAAATGATAAGAAAAAGCCTTTACGTTATTTATAACTATTTTAATTATAATGTCATTGCAATGCAAAATGTTTTAGTTCAATTTTGCACTTTTAACGCCTAATAAATAATAATAATAGCTTTTACGTTACATAATACAAATATTTCCAATATATAATGAAAATTGTCAGATATACTAAAGATCGTTATCGTAAGCGACAAACATTTATTTAGTAAAATAATGCATGATAATTTATCGTAAGTAGCAAAATTTAATGTAAATATTTCGTTTTCTCAAATTTAATATTAAAATTCAATTACTATTTGCAAAACAAAAGTATTACAAACATTTTTAATACTCATAGTCTGAGAAAAACATCAGTTATAAAAAAAGTTGCTTCCTGTAAAATTTACTGTGTGTCGCTTACGATGTTGTGTCAAAAACCCATCGATATTGCTTGTGGTGTGGTCTCTTGATCAATTTTAAGGTTATATAAAACAGCTGATTTCATTTTATCGGCTTTTACTCTACTATTGTTTCGAGTACAAAACATCAGAACATGTTATCAAAATCTAATTAATTTAA